ATTGTGTAAATAGAAAATGTACAACACACCACAATAGAATGTTGGTGTTTCACCTCAATATCAATCTTTCTAGATATTACATGATAGTCTCTAATTTTGCATTCAAAATTTACAGTATTTATATTCATTTAGAAACTTGTATTCTATGCAAATAATCTTGACAAGGCTGAAGTAGTTTTCTGAAAAATGAAAGAAACTATTGAGTGTTGTTAAGCACTTGGGAGCATTTCTTGACACTTCTATATGACTATATTGGCAACCTACAACCATTCTATAGATATACTCAACTTGCCTAGAAATATCGCCATTTCTGATAATGACAAAATTCTATTCATGCTTGTACTGCTTGTTACCTTCGGGCATGTTCTCTTACGTTAAAATTCAATTCAGTTCAGTTCAGCTCAGCTCAACTCCTAATTTCCTTCTCTTATAAAATATTAAGTTCAGTTCAGTTCAGCTGAGTTCAGTCAATGAGAACAAGCCCTTCATATAATAGACTACGAGTAAAGAGTTGATTAAAAAAAAATTATATATACCCAGGTGTGAGATGCACCGATGTAATTGTTTTGCTCATTGATGGTTAAATGAGCAAAAATCATCTTTAATTTAATCATTAAAATAATAAAAAAATTATCTTAGATACATCGTATCCGGGTGTAGATAGCAACGTATGGAAAAATAGTTATATACACCCGGGTGCATGGCGCACCCAATTTTTTATTTTTTTTACTCATTTCATAATTAAATGAGCACTAATCATTAAAACGAGCCAATAATACCCTTAAGCACACCATGCACCCGGGTATAAATAACAATCCCTCCAACGTATGAAGAGTTGACTCTTAATGGTAAGTCGAATGAGGAATTAGAGGTGGAAATCGTGCCATATCAGTTCGCCGCGGGTCATGCCTTGCCATGCTAGGAGGTGGGTCGTGTCGGGTTGTGTCGTGCCTAGGCATTGGCAGGCCGGGCCTCCAAATGGCAAACCCCAACCCATGTCTGGCATGCCGTGCCGAGCCCTAGACAGCCCTTAATTTTTTTTTCATATATTATTTAAATAATTTTATTAATTTATATTTATGTTCTTTTTATTATTTTTAGTATTATTCTGTATTATTATTTATGTTATTTTTATTTTTTATTATTATAATTTAATTAATTGTATTGGCGAGCCGTGCCGCAAGTAGAGCTGTCAAAAGCTGCCCGACCCGAAATACCGGCCCTAACCCGACCTATTAACCGACCCGGCTAAACCCGAAAAAAATGGTGACCCGAACCCGACCTGAAACCAACCCTAGATCCGAGTTGACCCGAGTATTTGAGACCTGAACCCGAACATTAACTGACCTAGAGTCGACCCGACCCGAATGTAACCTGTAAATTATTGACCTGAACCGAACCCGATCTGAACCGAAATTGACCCAAACCCATTTTAACCCGTCAAAACCCGAATTCAACCCGACCTGTTCCTAACCCGACCCGAATTCAACCCGACCTGTTCCTAACCCGACCTGCTACAAACCCGACTCAAATTTCAACCCGACCTGTTACAAACCAACCCGAATCAACCCAACTTGTTATTGACTCAACCCAAATTCAACCCAACTTATTATCGAATCAATATGTATAGGTTGTTATCTCATGTTGGTATTGGAACGGAAATTGAATCCTAACTCTATTCCTTCAACATTTTACTTTGAATTTTAAGAGGTTAGTTTCACAACATGTTTTTAGGGACGAATTTCAGGGACGTAACATGTTTTCCGCAAATTATTGACTTGAACCGAACTCGACTCTCGATTTAGCAAACCAATGCCTTAAGCCACTCAGCCATAACTCCAAGTTGTTGATCGGAATTTTATGTGCGGTAGCCCAAAGGGCTATCTGATTCGATCAATTGCCTAAGTCGTAGCGCGCTAGCACGCGTACTCTTCCTCCATGAGCGAGATTCTCTCCAGAAACCAGAAAAAAGGAACTGCCGAATCCGAGAATGATCCGAATTGGAAATGACCCGACTTGATTTTAACCCGCAAATTATTGACTCGAACCCGAGAACGACCCTAACTCGTTTAAACCTGTAAAGACCCGAATTTAACCCGACCTATTTTTCACCCGACCCGAATGTAACCCGACCCAAACCCGATAAGATGTATGACCCGACATGACTCGACTCAAGCATAACCCAACTCGAACCTGACCCGCATATGTTATGACATTAACCTGTATTGACCCGACCCGAGATGACTCGACTCACACTAACCCGACCCGTTTACCCGAATTGACGGCTTTAGCTGCAGGCCAAAGGTTTGTGCCGCCCACGAAGTCGTGCATTGCTCGGGCCAAAATTTCAATTTATGTTCACGGCACGCGGCCTACTCTTCAGTCTTTGTATCGGGTCGCTTGCAGGTTCGTGCTGTGCTCGTGCTGCCTGCGAGTCGATCTGACCCATGCCTAGCTCTATGAGGAATTCTTATATGCACTCAATCATATTTAGAGAGTAAATCTTTTAGGAGCACTTAACTCTACGCACTAGAACGTAATTTATACACTCTTATTTTATTTCTTCACATATTTAAAGGGAACAATCCAAAAAAATATTAGAAAAAACATAAAGAGACGATGAGTTATCGTCTTATCGATGATTGAAGTAACTCCTCAACAAAATAGATAGTACGCCGTATGATCATCGATGATTGGTAGGTAACGTGGGGTTGGCCACATGTTGTACCGACCTCTCTTAGCTTCCTCAACGTAGGATTAAAAGCTTAATGCATTGAGCGGCTGTCTATTATCAATTCATGACATTATTTAAGATTTTAAGATAGAAGTTGAGAAAATCCAATTTAGTGGGAATTTCTTTTAGATTGTTTAAATCACCCACCAAATACTCCCTCCTTGTGTTTCTATTTTTTTTTTTTTTTTTACCGTTTTGAGCCTATTCTTTTACCATCAATGTTTTTAAAAAATTTCTATTTATCTAATGCATTTGTTGCCTCTTCCAAGTCATTAAAGTAACCATAAATTTTTGTTTCAAAAAAAAAAAAAAAGTAACCATAAATTTAAAATTTACTCCGTATTATTTGTAAATAAAAAAAAATCAGTTTAATTATTCATTAATACACTACTAAGTACCTAAAAATTGGAGAAAGTATGGAGTAGAATTCTATAGCCCATTCAAGAACTAAAAAAAAAATATTCATGGTCATAGAAAATTAAAATGTATTGTACCATACCAACATAAAAAGTCATGTATTTACTATTTAGGATTATTAAATTGACTGATATCAACCAACTAACCTAAGCCAGATGACAATATAACGTACTCCTTAACTATTAGGGTAAGACTCCATAAGAATAAGGTTAGCTGACTAATATATCCAGAATAGTCCTTAACTAATAACGTACATTTTCATTAGTTAATATATTGTGATTGGCTAACACATTAGGCGTTCAGAGTTCTTAAATTACACGTAACATGGCAAGAATATGAATATCAAAAAAAAAAAAAAAAAAAAAAAAAAAGCTAACCTGTAACAATGAAAGGGTCGAATAATAGAAATGTTATCCAAGTTATGAGTCGACGGATAAGGTTCATGGATGGTGAGTGTGACCTTAGCAGCAGCAGCATGGCTAGCTGTTTACAGGAATCCAATGAGATTTATACACTTTATACGTTTATAGCCTTCTGGTTACAGTTTGGCTCTTTTTTGGATTTGTTGACTTTTTCTTATTTTCAGTATTCTTAATATAATTATAATAATCCAAGGTTTATTATTCTGGTATTTTAATTTTACAGACAATGTACAGTTGTACTCCATAATCCTTTTCCCTAAGCATACTCATATTTCACTGTCCTCAGTAAATATTTCCACTTTAATTTACGGATTTTGTACGATTGTTTACTTTGGTGTTGTACAATTTTAGGGTTTTTTTAGATTATTCTTTATTTATCTTACAACAAGCCAATGGAACAAGGATTAGTAAAAAAAATATTAAGGGCTTGTTCTCATAGACTGAACTGAACTAAACTAAACTAAACTAAACTAAACTGAACTGAACTGAATATTTTATAAGAGAAGGAAATTAGGAGCTGAATTGAACTGAAAATGAACGTATGAAAACAAGCCCTAAATTTTGCTTAAGAATTTACACTTTGTAAACTTCAATTATCTTCAAGCTTCAAACAAAATAAAAAAAAGTAAAGTTTTGAGCATCACTTTTCAAATGTTTACTACTAGTATATACTCCATTGTATCATATGTACAAGTATTGGGATGAATACGGCTCACTTTGATTAAGGAACCCTGACGCTTATATATATATATAAATAATACATTATCTAGATAATGTAATGACATATTCGTCCTTATACCCTAATATCATGCATATGCTACATTTACGTAGTATGATATTCTCATGTGATACTTTATAACTTAATGTGAACAAAGTTAGTGTTCTTCAATATTATGAAGAATTTGTATGTTTCTTTGTTTGACCATTTATTAATATATAATTAGACGGTCTATCAATCTATGTTACTTTTTTCCCTATTTTCAATTATAATTTGCAAATACTTCTTCATAGATTGACATTTTTTTTATTAACAAAACAGAATTATGAATTGCAATGAATTCATAGTTAAGACACAACCTCTCTAAACTATGGTTGTCACATGATCTAATAATCCTGTGTTCAAGTAGCCGTTATTTGAATGGTAAGATTCTAAGAAAATGACATGAGCATATACTAATTGGTCCCAATTTGACCATACTCAGATCAGAAACCGTGTTTATTTTATTGGATTAGCTTAAATTCATGAAAAAGGTCCAATCCCTAGGTGGGACATGACATTAAAATGTGATTAATTCATTCATTATTAATTAAGATTACTTAGGCAACTAGCCATGTTATATCACTGACATTAATTAGTAGGATAATTAAGGTTGGCAGAAGTATATTAGAATAATATGATGATTAAGCATCTTCAATACAATTTGATCTGGAAAGCTAAGATTCTTTTCTCATTACAACAGGAAATGGGGGCACCAAAATATGTTTCATTTTGCCAAACCAATCTTATTCTTTGCTTACTATTTCATTTACATGACAATTACAGTCTCTACAAAAATAAAAAAATATAATTCCTCCTAAACCATCTAGTTTATATTGATATACATTGTAGTTTTGTAATGAAGTATGTTGGCTGCAGCCGCAGGGGTAACCAACCATCCACTCGCCGTGTGGTGGACAGGCAGGCGCGAGGCTGGCTAACCCCTGCAGCAGAGCAACCACCATAAGCCATTATCAAAACAAAGGAATAAAAGAACAAAAGAACAGGTAAGCAGCAGAGATCAGCAGGTCAAAATCGACTTAAGAGACTTGATTTCGTCTAAGAGCTAAGTAATCATAAGCATGAACAAGCCGCTTCTTGAATCTCTTAAGATCTAATTTGACATTCTGTTTATCCAAATAGATCCTCTTAGTGAACTCCCATCCTTTCGCGTTAACACTGTCAGGGTCTGTTAAAACAGGATCACTTCTATCATAATCATCATACAGTGAGCTCTCTCTAGGAAGAATTTTGTATCCAATATACTTCAAACCGAGCTTCATTGATGGATCACCGTAGTAAGTCTGAGCTGCCCAATCGGTTCCTAGGGGAACAACTTGGATGAAAACACGACCAGGCTTAACGAAGAGAAAGTGTGTCATGGCAGCACCATGAACTCCAATCATCACATCACTCGAGTTCAGTACCCTATAGATCTTAGCTAACTCAGTAGTCTTTTCAGGCCTTAAAACCTCCACTCGAAAACCAATCTTTTCTGCTAGTTTCACCAATGAGTCCTCATTGAGTATTGCCCTCGAACCACTTCTTGAAAGGATGACCAACTTTGGTTTCTTAGGTTGATAATCAAGCTCAAGCAATGAGGTAGAGGTAGGCGATTGTGAGAGTTGCTTCTCTCTTTCCTCGTCTTGGATCAACCCTTTAATCCGAGGCCAATAAGCTCGGTCTAAGATGTCCCTGAAATCCCTAATTGACTTGTTCCTTTTCATGAGGGACTGATCAATAGTTAGCTCATCATGTATGTTCAAACCCACAATGGCTTCCGGGAAGCAATGTGTACGATTATCCGCGCTATAATTGATTGTTGGGTAATCAGTCAAGTGGGAAAGAATGTCACCATACTTAGTTATCCACCAATTATGATACTCAAGGATGACAAACACAACTTTCTTGTTAAACTGCTGAGAGGTGATGTATAATGGGATTATACCGTCGTTGAACTCGTGGTAGACATTCCCGGTATATCCTCCTGTTGAGAAGAACACGGCTGGAACATCATGGACAACATCACACTTACGCTTGGAAATGCTGTTTTCGTGTTTCGACACAAGGGAAAGTTCATCAATGGTACTCATTACACTAGTCTCCCATTTTCGGGTGTAAGGCCTAATCTTTTCGCGTTGGTACTCAAATTCTTCGACAATTTCATCTCCATCTTCCAATAAATGAGACGAACCTCTTGGATCGTTTCGAGTATAAAGGAAGACTGAAGATGAAGGTGAATGTGTCCTAATGTCACCCTTCATATAACAGACATCAGTCCTGATTCCACTTCTGTCACAACAAATTGTTCCTGCATTTATAAATTACAAAACATTTAGAAAAATAATACAACAAATAACAATAAAAAGAAAAAACCATTTTAAAAAATCATTTCAGCATTCAAAAATCATAGATACAAGCCTGAAATTCATAATTTCCACTACCCTTTTCTTTCTTTTATTAAAATACTTCAAAGTTCAAATTACTCTGATGTAAGCCATTATTTCACTAAAAAGGATCAAACAGAAAACTTCCTTTTACCCCATTTTTCTGCAATTCTATATTCAGAATTGAAAAGAATTATTAATAAAAAAATTCATCAATGCAAACTCATAGCAATATGCCATTATTGACAGCTACCATAGTGACAAATTAATGCATCTAAAATTAACTTTACCATATGAATTATTAATATAAACTTTATCCTAACATTATTTTTGTTAAATTCCATCATGATTCAATAAGTTAACAAGGAAGACATTTTTTCAAAATCAATAATTTTGGTGTACAGAGAACCACTGAACCATAGATTGTAGCAATAATGTAGACGGAATTTGATATCGGGTGTTAACTAAACTAGTTGGCATCCACTACTTTGGCTTATACTTTTGAGAGATAAAAGGAATAAAATTATACATTTATTAAGACAGATAGAGAGAGAACAAACCATTAGAGACGGAAGAACAAAGAGGAAGCTTAGAAGCCATGTCAGAACCCATATGCTCATCCTCTGCTCCTAATGAATCTGCAAAATTCACAAATAAATAAACACAAATCATTAAAATACAGTTATATCAATAAGAAGAATTTAAAGTCATTAAAGTACAAATTTTTATGATAAGAAACACATCAAAACAGGGGATTTAATAAAAATAATATTACAAGTTTGGTAATTAAAAACCCAATAAAACAGGGGTTCTGCAAAAAAAAATGAAAAACCCTTAATTTTTGTAAAAACTATCATGATTATAAACCCACTAAAACAGAGTTTTTGAAAAATAAAAGACACAAACCAAGAACCTTTTTTTAAAATGATGATTAAAGCCCACTGATTCACTAAAACAGGTATCCAAAAAATCCCAGAAAATTTTTTTAAAAATGAAATTTCCCAAAAAAAAAAATGAAAAATGAGGAAAATGAAATGAAACTTACAGAGGAGAGAGAAAGTGGAAGGAAAGCCAAAGAGCTGAGGAGTCCAGATGAGACTGCAAGAGAGAAGAGATAGAAAGAGGAAAGAAAGAAGCTTAGGTCTAATAGCTCTCTTAAAATAGTTTCCATTAATAGTAGTAATAATCCCAATTTGTGATTCTTCATCTAATATAAAGTTTTTGACTAATAATCCATCTCCTCCTTTCTTCATTTGATGTTGGTAATAGTATCTTTGATGATGCACCATTGTTTTCTCTCTATAAAAATCCCACCTTTTTTATCTTGTGTTCTTCTTTTTAATGGCAGAAAACCCAGGAAAAAAGCTCTGTTTTTTGGGTTTTTGACACAGAAACCGAGGCAATTTTAATTTTTTTTTTTATTTTTTATTTTTTTGATTGAGGGAGTAAGATAAGGAAGAATATGAAATGGGTTTAATGGGTTTTTTATTTTTTAATTTTGGGAGTGAAATTAATGGAGGAAGAAGAAGAGGAGAGAAAAAGGAGGAAGAAAAGTGTCAAAAGAGAGAAGAGTTCAAGGAAAGGAGGCGTTGAGTGAAGAAGCAAAATGGGTTAAATAGAGAAGGAAAAAAAAAAATTCAAGCGTGTTTTTTTATTCAAATAAATAAATAAATCAAGCGTATTTTAGACGGTCAAACTCGGAAGGGGCTAGGGAGGGATTGGATTGGAAGGAAAGTGGAAAAACAAAGGGCAGCTAGATTTGGGTTTTTGGATTTTGGAAAGTGTATATTACTCCATTTGAGGAAACATTTCTACTTCTTGCTTATTTCTCTAGTGATTATTATAACGTTTTGATTTTTACAGTTTTTTTGACATGTAAACATAAACATACGTACAAGGCAACACAACAATAACTTCACCACCCAAAAAAGATCAATGCGAGCAACTTTCATGCAGACCAAATTGCAAGATTTTCTAATCAAAAGATGAAGTTGGACATCGCTTTGATCCTACACAATCTATCCTAAAACCTACAGAAAACCAATTATAACATACCTTACCTGGTGTCTAAAAATGAGAATGAGATATAATTTGTTGTTGGTAAGGGAAGTGAGTCAAAAGCCTTGAACCTATATAGCAAAGTTCAAAGTCGAAATTTGGTTCTTGTGGATTTCCTAAAGACCCTTGAGTAGCAGTCGCCTTACTTTAATTTTCAAGGTTATGATCAACTCTTTCTGAAACTTCATTTGCATTTGAACCAACTATGGTTGATCGAAAAGAAGTATACGGGACCTCTTGAGATGGAACCACTTGGTGCTTCAATCATTAGTGTAAGTGTGTAAAAAAAATAACAAAGGTCTCTATTCAGGGGAGGAGCCAGCCCGGAATAAGGGGGACACATGTATCCCCACTTTATTAAAATCAATTTATTAATAGAGGATGTAGGATCCGTCAGTTACTTTTATAGCCCCCTTTTGAATCTATAAGCTTAATTTGATTAGCAACATTTTATCCTTTTTTTTTCCTTTTCTTTAATTTGTACTCCATAAGGTATGCTTATTATAGAAAATCATAATTAGTGCATTAAATTACCTATATTATCTTATATTTAAATTCGTCAACAAATCAAACCCATAAGTAACTTCTAGATCCTTCACTGTTCAAGTATTAATAAGAACTAGTATTTTGGCCCGTGCAATGCACGGCTTGTTCATAGAAAATTGCATTGAGAGATGATTAAGGAAATACCAATAAATAATTATGAGTGTAATATGTAAATGAAAACATAACTAAAGAAATAAAAAATTTGGGACTTTAATTTGAAATGAGACTTAATAGAAAGAAGATTGAGGGACTAAAATCAAAGAGAGAAAATAAAAAGGTTGAATTAAAGAGGGGAGATGAAAATGAAGTGTTTAATGAAAGAGTTAAGAAAAATTGAATAATTAAAAATAAAAAATGTAAAACGACATATGGCACATTGAGTTGAAGAAGAAGATAGGGAAGTGTAATAGAATGATGACATATGTCTTTTTTGGTTTGCCTTTTTAAATACTAAGTATAGATGTACCATCAATGGAGGAAAAATAAGAATATGACTTTAGACTTTTTAAAGTAAGTATTTTATTTTTTGAGTTGTTAAAATTATTTATTTAACTAACTATGTGTTCAAGTAATGAATTTGTATAATTCATCCCAAATTGAAGGTCATTTCTAAGTTTAAATATATAATCTCTTCATATATCTTTCTTTGAAATTTGGATTGTGATCATCCCTGTTACTTTAGAAGAATACTATAAGAGGGCGGTGAATTGTAGTAAGGGAGATTTTAGCTAACTTTTTGCGGAATTAATAAAACTAAGCTAAAGGAACTCAGAAATCACAAAGAGAGATTTTACGTGGAAAACCTCTTGACCCCAACAAGAGGAAAAACCACGACCACTTGGGATTCACTTGGGATTTTAGGAAAGATTCTTTACTATAAATTAAGCTATAAATTAAAAGTGTGGGAAAACTGAGTTAAGCACAAAATCAGGTACTCAATTCTTCCTTTTTTCACCGTTTAGGTACTCAATTATTTTTACTTTGCTTTTGGGTACTGAGTTAAGAATTCCGGCCAAAAAATAAATAAATCAGCCAAAGAATTCAGTACCTTGGGTTAAAGAATTTAGTACCTTTAGTTAAGAGTATGTGGGCCCCACCCGATTAAAAAATTCGCGGGTCAACCCATTTTTTTCCCTTTCTTTTTCTTTATTCCCTCTTTTTGCTCCTTTATTCTTTCCCATTTCTGGAAACATTGCTGCGTCACTTTCGAAGAACAACGAGCAACCTTGGGCTCGATTCTGGGGAAAACGACACCAAAAGCCGCCATTTTTTTTAGGTAAGCTCAATTTCTCATCGTTTATGTTGTTAATTTGATATAAATTTTAGATTTTTTGCCCATTTGTTGATGTTTGTTGCGACCTAGGGTTTTCGATATTTTGGCGTTTTTTTTTTAACAAATTGATGATGTCGATTGGTTGTGTTTTTTGTGTTAAATTTGTTGCTTTGTTGTTGGATTAAGGTAGTGTTGTTGTTGAATGTTGATTTCATGTTGTTTACAATGCGCAAGGGTTGGATTAGTTTATATGTTTTTCGCACTAAAACAGGAGAGGTTTTGGTGAAATTGTGTATGTGTGATTGATGGTATTGTGTGTGTTTTTGTTGTGCATTTGAAGTGCCTAACTTCAAACTATGGTAACTATTCTGTTTAGTGAATAATGGAGCAGGGAGGAGCAGAAAATGAAATTGAGTCTGTTGAAGAAGGTGTAGCTCCCTGTTTGGGTGTTCAAACTGTGCAAACTGCTCATCCATTGCTGTTTATGGATGATATTATGTGTGTTCATATTTTTCCCAAGTTGGACCCCCTAAGTTCTCTTGTTGTGGCTGGTACTTGTAGGCATTGGAGGAAGGTTTGGAGGAACAATCCTCAAGTATTGTTCCTCTTGCTAACATGGTGGATTGGATGTAGGAAATAGGTGCTAGGTTGTAGGTACTAGGTACTAGGATGTAGGTAGGAATGGATAATCCCTTGAAGTTGTTTTTTGAAGGCTATGGGATTCATTTTGTGAAAATGTTAGGGAGTCTATGTAGATGTTTTTTGGTTAAGACATAGGCTTTAGGAAATGATGTATTTTGATCCTAACATGTATTTAGGTAGATCACTATTGATTGTATTTAGGTGACTAGTGATGTTAAGTCACATTCTTTTGGATGACATTGTGCTTTAGTGTTGTTGTTATGCATTTAGGTCACTATGTCATCTTCATTAACATGATCATTTTGTAAATATTTGACAATGAATGAAATGAAAATATTTTAGATATAAATATGTTGTTAGCAGTTTAAATTTATGTTTTTTGTACTTATGTATTGTGTTAATTTTATGCATAATGGTTGTAGATGGAAGACATTCCTATGTCTATAATTGTGCACTATGGAGGGTCATGGGAAGAGACTCCTACCCTTGTTTATGTTGGTGGGACAACTAAGATATTTGATGAATTGCCTAATGATATGAATGCCTCTTATTTTAAGAACATGATTGACTCACTTGGATATGATGACATTTGTAAGTTACACTATTGTGATCCGGTGAAAAGGATGGATGAAGGAATGAGGTTTTTAAGTTATGATGATGCCACTTTTGTGAAATTTTTAAGTTTACTCCACATGTATAGGGTTATGGATGTGTTTGTTGAACATGAAAAAGAAAGTGAGGATGAACTTAATGGCAGGGGGAGTTTTACTTCATTATTAGAAATATCTAATCCTAGGGTGGGAGAGATGACAGTGGTGGATGACATTGATTATGATGATGAAGGGAGTGATAATGAAGATGTGGAGGTGATAACTGCTAGGGAACAGATTGCTAGTAATCAGCAAGCACAGAAAAAACTTGTTGTGAAACAGAGTCCATCATAAGGCTTAAGGATAGGTCATCTGAGAAATGTTTTGGTGATGAGAGTTCTGGAAGTGACACTAATGAGGACTGCCCTGGTAGCCCTGCTGAAAACCAAGATGAGGAGTATTGTGGCAATCTCATAGCTACACCTCCTAAGGCAAAAAGGAAGAAGGGGGTTACACACTCTAAGCATATGCAAAGTGTGAATTTGAGAAATGATGATGGAAAGCATTTCACATTGGGGTAGCAATTTGAGGATGCTAAGGAGTTTAGAAATGCAATCACTAACTATTGTGTTAGTCAAGGGAGGGATGTGGTGTATACTAGAAATGCTTGGGATAGGATGGGTGCTAAGTGCAAGTCTTTTGACAAGAGCTGCCCTTGGTACATTTGGGCTTCAAAAAAGAATGCAAATGAGACTATGGTGGTGAAAACCTTGATACCTAAGCATTCATGTGGTAGGCAGCCAAAGGTTAAAAAAATCAGGGCATCTTGGGTTGTAAAAACATATCACAACAAGTTCAAGGTGAATCCATATTTGAAATGTCAGGAAATTGTGGATACTATTTGGACTGAGTGGGGTGTGAAAATCAGCATGTGGATGGCTCTTAAGGCTAGAAGAAAGGCTCAAGAACTGATTATAGGTGAATATGAGGAGCAGTACTCTTTGTTGCACAGGTATGCGGCGAAAATTCTTAGGTCTAATCTTAAGAACACTGTGAAGTTCAAAATGGGACTTGGCAAATTTGAAAGAATGTATGTCTGTTTTGATGCAATCAGGAATGGTTTTTTAGCAGGATGTAGACCCTTCTTTGGGATTGATTGCTGTGTTTTGAAAGGGCCTTTTGGTGGCCAACTGTTGGTGGCTGTAGGCAGAGATGGGAACAACCAAATGTATCCCATTGCATGGACATTAGTGGAGGTGGAAGACACTGATTCATGGTGTTGGTTTCTGGAAATTTTGGCAGATGACTTGGGCACTATTGATGGCTTTGGATACACAATCATGTCTGACCAGCAAAAGGGACTTTTAAAGGT